TGGTTTGAATCCATTGTGACTGTTTAGGGGCAACACACTACTCACCAGGTAGCTGAAAAGTCTTCAGCGATTTTACGACTATATTCTGGTAAAACTGTAGACCGACCCTCAGCCTAAAGTCACTTCGTACATTCCGTTGACCGATATTCAGCTATTTTTGAATACATATCATGCAGTAGGTACGCCGGAAGTACTGACGGATCTGTGGTGATTTACCAAGCCTGAAATCTAGACAACAAGTGCGTCTTATAACTCCAGTGGCCCCAGGATAAAACCAAATAAGATCCTGGGACTACATTTTTTCACATGGGTTTAATTCAACTTGATATTTTCTTATATGTCTGAAGAACGACTGCAAAAGTAGCTGCGTATCATCTCCAAAAGCGTCCGCATGTCCCATTCTCGTCAATTAGTTTTCCAGGGGAAATTTGCCATCAAAGACACCATTCTACGGAAAGAAACAAGTCCTCCTATGCACTGGCCTTCCCCTTCACACTTCCTATATATAACAGATCTTCAAAAGTTAATTTTTGATACAAGTGTAATGCTAAATAAACTCTTAGCGTTGTGCAGCGCTCTGATGACGTTCTATGGAACAGTCTCTTTTGAGACGATGCAACACCAAGCTGCATCCGGAAATTTGACGTTGGTGAATGTCATACTGCCTGCATAAGCATAAACATACAACGCTGGCATCAGTGACGAAAACCTCAACATTTAGGAAACTGATTACTGTGCCAAATTAGATGACACCACCTCACTAACTCAGCTTGTAGATGACATGCGTGAGAACAAACCAAGTAAAGGGGGCTCTGGAGAAAATACTGGTTTAACGATGGACACTACTGATGAGGCATGCGAGTAATATGTGATTTTCTTGAAACTGCGCGTTGATCTAATGGAAGGTAATATTTGTTACGGAATTTGTGGAAATGCTTTGCGGTATTCGTTTGACATTGCATGACAGTCAATGAATATCCGGGAAAGTTCAAGAAGACGTGTTCACGGAGAAGGTGGTTATTCGTTATTTTGAAGGCAAGGTGCATTTGAGAGTTTTACTTTCCTGTCCCATAGTCTGTAACAGTCTAGCTGGTGTTTTCTAATAGACAATTTTGCGGCGAAGGGCTTTCCTCCTTTCATTGATAGCAAGACCAAATTGAGCCAACGTATCGTAAGCGTAGGACGAAAGTAGCCTACAAATGCATCTTTAATAATTCTGGAACTCAAACAGATAGAATGATAAGGCAAATTACATTACCGCTGGTTTCCTAATCAATATAGACCGCTTTTCATGTCTGTTTGTCTTGGTAGCGACTGGTCTTTGACCAGCTCAGGGAGAAAATCAACGACCAACGAAGTCTGTTTCGCACTATTCTTCGGAACGCTTCAATGAGTAGTTCCATGTTCGAACCTGGTTTTGTAAGATCTCATGCTTCCAACGCCATCAATAACTACTCAACTTTGAAGAATAAGTTAGGTCCACAAAAAACGCCTTAGTTTCCGATGATTTCCTTAAAATCAGCTACAGCAACAAAGGCTCCGTTTTCGAATGTTCTTGAAGGAATTTTTCGAGATGAAATATGATGCACCTGGTGACCCCACAGAAGCGCTCCGGAAACATTCTTCTCCAAGGATTTTGATGGCGAAATTTCTAGCTTCTTTGAAATTGTAGGGAACCATTATGTGCGGAAGATTTCGGGTG